GACAAAAATATTTATCAAAATTAGAGAATTAAAGATATCATTACAAAATGAATAAATCTGAGAGAGGTCCACATGTAGTACCTATATATGTGATATCAAAGGAATTGGACTTGCGGTTTTCAACAAGAAGTCAAAAATATCACTTTTTACCAAAAATTACAAAAATATTCACCAAAATTAGAGAATAGAAGATATCATTACAAAATGAACAAATCTGAGAGAGGTCCACATGTAGTACCTATAAATGTAATATCAAAGCAATTGGACTTGCGGTTTTCAACAAGAAGTCAAAAATATCACTTTTTACCAAAAATGACAAAAATATTCACCAAAATTAGAGAATTTAAGATATCATCATGAAATGAACAAATCTGAGAGAGGTCCACATGTAGTACCTATATATGTAATATCAAAGCAATTGGACATGTGGTTTTCAACAAGAAGTCAAAAATATCACTTTTTACCAAAAATGACAAAAATATTCACCAAAATTAGAAAATTAAAGATATCATCATGAAATGAACAAATCTGAGAGAGGTCTACCCAAGGTACATATACACCAAGTATCAAAGCATTCAGGCTTGTAGTTTTCAAGAAGAAGTCGAAAAAGTAAAACATTGACACGGACGACGGACGCCGCCGACGACGGACAATCACTCGTATGATAAGCTCCGCTCAACAAAGTCGACAGCGGAGCTAATAAAAATTGATGCAACGTTACAAACTTACTCGTGTTGGCCCTCCCACTCCTGTCATCTTCAGGCCTTCTAGTTCTTCAGTCATCTTGGTCGCTAACGCTTGTAAATATCCTCTGGCATCTTTCTCATCACTCACCCTACAGGAAGTCAAAGAATAAGATGCTAATGGTGGAAAAACTGTACTTAATGATGCACCTCCATCACATCTGATTGATAATGGAATGACCCACCAAGAAACAAGACCTTTAAGGGGCAATTAACTTCACTGTGGGGGCGTGCTCGTGAATTACAAGTGCAGATAATATGTACATGTAGGCAAAAACGATTTACACCAGTAACATACAAACCACCTTGTACTTACCATTGTATAATTTCTGCTATCTGTGCCTCCCAATGTGCTACCGAGTCTTTCTTGTCTGATAGCTCACGCATCTCCTCTTCAAGCTGCCTGTTAATACGGTTCATTTTTTCCATTTGTGAGTTTGCCTGTTGGTTATGAAATGGCAAGATTAGACAAGTTGACTCTTAGGTTATCTCTTCAAGTAACACAAAGACTTGAAAGTTTTGAACTCGACTGAGTGAAAAGTTAACATTGCTACAACAAGTTTCAGGTGGCCAGTACGAACGACACAGACACATGGACAGACATACACCAAGCTTATAGTAGCAATATACAGTAATAAGTGATTATTTACCCTATCTACATCCATTTGCAGTTTCTTGTTGTCTTCTTGAACTATGGCCATTTCACGTTCGTATTTCCTTCGTAGATCAGAGATCTTTTCTTCATGATCTGAAACATTGGCTCTGCGCGAGTTTTCCAATTTTTCTTTTATTACTTTGATTTCTCCAACCAAGCGTTGTACATTGTTTTCCGAGTCCAGCAACTGTTCCCGTAGTTTCTGTAGAAATGGGGAAAACAACACAGAAAAAAACACATCAGTACGGTGTTTTCAAATGTATGAGGTTCTACTCGATATCGACTGAGCAAAACGTGTCTTGATACTTACTTTTTCTTCATTAATATGTCTCGTTTTTTCTTTGGTTAAGTTTTCCTCATACATCACATCTCGCTTCTCCATAGTAGCTTTTAACTTGGCAAGTTCCTGCTGCTTGTTCAGTCCACTGGTGCTTGGTGTACGACCCAATGCTCGCTTCTACAAAATTACAACAATGGGTAGTTTACAAATATCAAGTTCAACCTAATGTCAAAGTCAATGGCTATTTTTAGACACATACAAATCTTACGTCTATAAAACACAGCATAATTGAATTGTTACGTCACATAAAATGATTAAGAGCCCCGCCATCTCCTCTAAAA